TTCTCGTTCTTTGAATCCACCAGACCCGATCGAACACAGAAAGTGTGTGAGAACGACGCGATTTCACGGTGCGCAACAATCTTACCTCAGTCGGTAACTAGTAAACGCGGCCGCGATAAAGGAAGGAATTTAACGATGGTTATACCCGATAAACTTAAGAGCTTACGAGGAGAGGGCAGCCTGGAAATTATTGCACGCTTACGGGGGAAGGGAGGCACGCTTCAGTTTGTCCACTGGACTAATGGAATTTCGAGAATTCCATTTGAAAGTTAATCGCGTGTTTCTCCCTTGCAACATCCCGCGGAGAGCATTTAATTACTCTCAGAAACGGTCCTCCTAACTTATTTACGCGTGTCCACCTACCAACCAGCCACTAACAACAACTCCATGCTGCTTCCATGGAAATATAATCTTGCCCCGTTTACGAATTCATCAGCGCCCCCTCGCTCGTCCAGCTGTTCACCAGCTAAACGGTGAATTATGCAAACTACGTACGACACATGGAGAGAAGGAGGGGGAGGAGAAGGAGGCCCCCTTTTCTTCCGCAAAAATTCCGCTCGATCGATCATCGACGAGCGGAAGAGCTTAAGGGATAGCGCGTTTTCTGTATGCGATCTTCCACCTCTGTGTTCTGACGCCTCGCGAAATGGCGGCTTTCGTCGACCGATCGTCGAACACCGATAAAGAAGAAATTTAACGAGGGGTTAGGTGGGTTGTTCCCTGGCTCACGTTCTGCCGTGCTCAGCGATTGGTAAATGGGTTTGTTGTGGGAGAGAGAGAGAGAGAGAGAGTAGGGACCGGCTAGTTATTAGGGCGAGTCGAGCCAGGAAGGTGTCTAATAGCCCACCAAGAGTACAATCACGAGCAAGGAGGTTTCGGTACAAGGTGTGCACTTTACATATATTTGCATCCTACCGCGGCAAATTCGACATCAATCTAGGGGCACGAGCCCTCAGGTGTCTCTATCTTGGCCGACAGGACTCTTTCCACCCCTTGATTACACTGTCTCGAATTCGCGTTTCCACGCTAAACGGCTTCCTTTGTGCCCTTTGTTCCACCCCTGCGGGTGGTCCTCTTTCTCTTCCTTTTTTTCCCCCCTTTTTTTTTAGTCCCAGGAGAAATTTGCAAGGGATGGGTGTTGGGTTTGGCTCGAAGACAGGTCTACTATGGACGCTTTGAGAGAGTGTACGGAGAGTTGTGTGTGTGTATGTGTATGTGCGTGGGTGTACGGTGGATTTGTGATTATGTGGATTTATAGCCTGAGACTCATTTGCAACCTCGTTAAGATCGTGGTTAATTGGTCGTTGTGTACGTAGTGTTAGAGAATAGAGATCTTAATTTTTTTTTTTTTTTGTAAGAGTTTATACTTATATATTTAGCGAGTTAAAGTTTAAAATTTAATTGTTTTTTAGAATGTAATGTCATTAAGCATCTTTTGTAATAAATTTAATTTGGATCATGCAATTGTTAGATGTGATTTAATTGATATAATTTTTTGCATAAATACGATTTTATTTTCTTTGGTATGTATAATAGATGGTAGTCAAATTTCTATTATTTTTATCTAAACGTTTTTACAAATTTAATTCGTTAATATCGAAATTATGAAAAGATTCGTTATTTTAGATTACGTTTAAAATTAATCCACTTCCTTTATAATTCGATTGAAAAATTAATCAATTTTATGGAAAGAGCTTATAATAAAAGTAGTATCTAATGATAAAGACATTAAAATATCAATGCTGATCTAAATTAATGTAAAGAGATTCAATTTTTGTGCTATAAAATATTAACATTTAAATTATTATTATGTGACAAATGATTTTCCTTGTTATTTTCAAAAATTATTACTTTGTTAATGTCACATTATAAACTTTCCATAGCTTCTTTTATGTGTATCAGGAAATAATTCGAAATACAGATATCAAAATATTCTCATTATAAAATCAATAAAAGTATTATTTATTGATTTCAATATGGCGATTGCCATATTTTCATAAACGAAACTTTTTCTTACATTATAAAAATAATGTGAAAAAAATAATTAAAAGTTGAAATCAAACTCCAATAGTTTTCCTTATTTCAAGATAATATCCAAATCTTATCCATTTAAAATCTAACCTAGTTTAACAAGCGCAATCATTGATTGTAAACAATCTAACTTAAATTAAATATAATCTTACGTAGATCTACTTCGCTTCCCAAAATATGCAAGGAATAAGATAAGTAAAACTGGAATATCCATCACGTTGTAATCCAAACATAACCTAAACTTAATACAAACATAAAAATTTCAACTCGAATCAAACTCTTCGAAGACATATAACATCAAAAATAATACGTGTCTAAAAATAAGACCAAAGTTATGCATACAAAATATTGAATAATTGAAAGATCGATTCTAGATTGGCTCTTATTTATTAAATTATTCGAATATTTAAAGAAATTTTCCATCCTAAAAAAAAAAATTTTACTTTCGATTCAAAATTGATTCCTCTCGCAAAATAATCACTTTTGCCACACCCTTCCTTCTTCTCAACCATCCTTACGATACTCTTATGCTATATTTCATCACTGCATCCCCCTGGTGACCCAACAGCGAGACAAACTACCAACGAAATAATCAGGGATTAAATATCGGTGCAACGTGGTGGCAATCACGCGACCGAAGAGACACCAGTGCGGATTCTAAGGCGACCATAGTTGGGGTAAGTTTGACAAGTTGGCGGTAACAGGAACGGTGGTAAGTGCCAAGAAAGTTGTGCGAGGAAGGATCGGTTGATGCATGGCCACGGAAGAGGGATGCCGCCTAGCCGTCCAAAGGAAGGTGTTCCGCGGGACCAAGGGTGAGTTACGAACACACGGAAAACGCTGATTCCGCCCCGAGTTTCCCAAGAAGGGCCAAGGAAAGGTGGCGCGGAAGGTTTGCGCAGGTTTCCACGCGAGGCGCAATACAAATTTAACCGGCCATCTCGTGGATTGGGCTGCAAATATTTGCCGTAATGGCGCGTCCATCCAGCTTGAAAGCAATGGCACAAAGCGTGAATACGCCCGATATACCAAAATCTGAATAACAATGAGCGTAAATTCTGCGAATTCCTTCCTCGTTGCGGAATGATCCTTATTAAACTTTGCGAAAATGATGGAGTATTTGTTGGTTGATACTAAGGTTGGTTGGGGATTCCTCGCTGGTTTTTGTTGATCGTGAATTTGGTGAAAATAGCGGTTGATTGTGAGGAGGGATATTGTAGTGCGACGGTTCTCAAATGATCATTGAATGGAGAAGAATGGAATTACATTCGTATGAATTCTATTCGTATAAGAGAAATTTTAATAATGGATTACTTATTAAATTACACTTTTTATATGAAAGTCTAAAATAATAAAGAAAGACATAAATGAAGTTAAATTAGTGAAGGGAAACTTTTTATATTTTGGTTTGTTTATAGATTAACTTGATTTTAATAATATTCATTTATGAGAGTTGGTTGAGAACTATTATTATTTTGAGAGAGTTTTTGTTGGAAAAAAATTGGAAAAAAGATGATAAAGATTATGGTATGGATGAAAGGACTAATTTTAAAGATTGAAAAATAATTTAATTAATTTTTCATTATATCAGTGTGAATCTTATACCGCAATCAAGCAATTTTTACAAATTGGATGCAATCTTTATCTTTTATAACCAAATAGAATTCAAACTATAGAGTTTTATAGCAATGGATATTTCTGTAGTGCAGGTAATGTATTGCAGCAATAGATGTATTGGAGTTTTTAATTACTATTAATTGACAAATGGACCATATCTGTTAGGCAATTAACCATACAAGACATAAATGAATAATGCTTCCAAAAATTCCTAAATTTTTTCACATTGGTTAGTACATTTTCTCAGTTATTAAAATTTTTATAAAAATAATAAGATGTCATTTAATAAAATAAGATTTCTGAAGAATCATTAAAATTTGTTAAATTTTAAGTTATAAATTTTTAAATTTTAAATAGAATTCATTAATATATTAAAATCATAGTCAATTTGTTATTATTCATAACTTTTTCATTTGATATTTATAAAATATCGTGTTAATTTGATTTAATAAATATTCATTGTTTGAAATTAAAATTATATTTTATATTATTTATTTCATAATTATTTCAAATAATAATACGAAATAATTATTTGAAATAATATTTAAAATATCATGAAATTTCACAATTTTAATAAAAACAATAATATCAGACTCTGTTTTATGTTTAATAATTATTGTATATTATTATGTATATATTGTTTATAATTTCTGTTCCTGTGAAATAACTTTCATATTTTTTCGAGGATTATTATTTTCATTAAATTTGAAATGAATAAACAATGAATAAACAATAACAATAATGTGTTTTTTATTTTAATTTTAAATAACATTTGTTAAAAAAAATATAAGTATGAAATCACAATTCCACAGTGTTTGGAATTTTTACAGTACAGTATATTTGTTGTACGATCTGATAGTTGACTTCATTTATTAAATGTCATCTCTCCTTTCGTACGAAAGTAGACGTCTAAAAGTTGAACTTTTCAAAAAGTTGATTACACCATTTCCTGATATTTCGGTAAACTTCATATAGAAAGTTGTATTACATTTTCCGTTATACATTCGTTCGAAAATATACCATAGAAATTCAATAATTACAATAGGATCAATGAATTAATTTTCATAAAGAAATAAATTCTAATCATGCAGAATAGGATGTATTTGATGAAATATTAATTATAAATTCTAAATCCGAATTTTTGGGGGCTCGCGAAATTTTTATTTAAACACTTGTTTAACACGAAACATTTACTTTAAAACTCACGAAAATTTTAAAAATGACAAATTAAGGAAACACAAACAGCCAATATAAATATCCCTATTTATTCCCTGAATTATTTAATTACTTGGAAAATTATTTATTATTGGCAATTGAAAATTAAAAAAAAAAATAAATAAATAGTTGATTACCGACTACTTCGAGGAATCCAGTGTTGCTGGACATCGGGTCGGTGTTAACTTGGCACATGTACCATCCCCTGTCCGTCTCTTTGGTGTCTCGAATGTGAAGGCACCACCTACGATGACCGCTATGTGTCACGGCGATCCGATGGTTCTTCGTAATAACGTGCGTTGCTATAGTAAGAATTGTCTGTGTGTCCACGCGTAGCCACGCCACCTGTCAAACAAAAGAAACAATTTTTATTCGTTCAATTTTCAATTCGATTCGAGACACATCGAACGACATTAAGTACCATCGACCAATGTATCCTCCAATGCAAACAGAAGCGGGCCTCTTTGAAAGGTAATTTAACTTGAAACGCGTTTCACCATGGAACTTGGTGCAAAATTAAACTTGTTACATTCGTCGGCAATGTTGTTATCTAATTTTACTAACTTCGAAGAATTTCACTCATCGTGACGTGATATCGTTTTAGACGTCGAAGAAAGAAGAAATCAATTTATTTATGAATTTCTCAATGAGATTCCTTCTTTTTTCTCATCTTAAATATTATACATAATTTTCCTTCGTTCTTTGAAATTTATAAATTGAGATTTATCTTCAATTGCTGCGTGTTATTTGTAAATAGATTAGAAAATTATATTTTACGAATAAAAGAGATAGAAATCGAACATTATAACAAACGTATCTTTGTTAAAAGAAGTTTAATACTTTGCAGCGTATCTCTTTTGTTTCACAACTTCATTTAAATTTTTTAAACATTCAACATTCCTTTGTTCCGAAATCCATCGTACGAATAAAAACTCCTTCGTGCTTACAAGCTGCAATAACTGATTTATATTCTCGCGCGTTAATAACTAATAAAATATTCAGATAACTTTTCCCCGCCCCAAGATAACAAGATAACAAATTCAACGTATCATAATACGTATCATTTTGACGTATATTACACGCGAAACAAAACTAATATATTCATTATATAAACCAATTTTCGCAATTTCACACGTGGAAACCAGCCGATAAATCGAGACAGTCGTCTTCACGGTCCGATTGAAAATTAAAAAAAGGCGACCGCCACCAATGGACATTCGGCGACAAACGGTCTCTATAAATACATCAACGAGCGACAACCAATCCAAACAGAAGCGGGATCCTCTTCGTTCGAAAATAATTCATAGCTAGCTACGGGATTTCTCCACGGAAAGGGGAGAAAGGGAAGAAACGCGGATAAAAAAATAAAATACGCGTGACAACGAGGATCTGTTCAAAACCGTACCGCCAACAACACGCGATTGTCGCGATCCAAATCAAAAGAAATAACAATTTATCTGACCTAGATGTCGCTCGTCGCACGCGTCATCTCCAACCATCGTCCGCCCTCTCCAACACCGCTTACAATCTACGTGTATATGCATTATACAAAAATATATACGGTCTCTACGTTCTTCCCTTCTCCTCCTCCCTTGTTTTATTCAATCTCGACCACTTTCGTTCGTATCCGTGTCGCGGGTATTACTTTGAAATACGAATTCTCGGGCACGCATTGTCCCGTGGCGGCCAAGACATTTCGTTAAAAGTATACCGCGTATTCTTCGTAAACGAGACCGAGGAGCAGAGTGAGAAATTTCGTCGGAACAAATCCTCGTACGGGGCTATATATTTACAAACGTTCCCCATTCCATCACTTCCGCCTTTTTTCCTCCTCTTCTGTCCTCCCTCCTCCTTCTCGTTATTCCTTCTGGAACATTTCCCAATCCTCTCTCTCTCTCTCTCTCTCTCTGTCTCGGCCGCCGCAAACTCTGGTTTCCACTCTTTTTTTTTTTTGTTTCTTTTTGTCGCCATCGTCTCTCAGTGACTCATTGTCCAAGTGCTGCGACAATGTGCTCCGTGTTACAAAACTGTACTCGTTACGTAAAAAGGAAAAACTTCGGCGTACAAACACGTAATACACTCGTCGCCGTTTTAAAGCGCGTATTTCCTCGCTTCCGCTCGTACCCCCTCGTATCCTACGTATTCCGGGAGAGCCTTGTTGTTTCCCGCTTGATTTCTTCTTCCGCGGGAAGACACATCCACTTCATCCATTGCATCCTCGTAGGCCCCGTGGGCGATATAAATGTAACCATATTCCATCCACGCGTATGTACAGGGTAGTCGCAATTATTCACCGGTAGCAAAACTTGAGAAGATTCTTACTAATTCTTTTTTTTTCAAATTTTAAGATTTTAAGATATTTTATAAACTCGAAGTTCGTAAAATATACTCGAAAATGGCTTACTCGAAAATGGTTCATGTTCTCCTTGTCTTTTATATAATAAGTGTTTCATGAAGTTCGAGTTAAAATATCTCGTGAACTAATGATTTTTTGGACACGAGTAAGTTAATAAGTCTAAAGAATATCAAGTTGCATCGACAATTGCATTAAAAAAAAAAAAATGTTTATATTATAAAAGTATATGGAGATGAATCGAGATGGTAATATCTTGCGAACCACCCTGTATATGGACCGTGTGTGTATACCGTGTTATATAAAGACACGTGAATAGATTTTTATCCGCCTTTATCTCGTGGCGCGCGAGTACGCCTCCGTATCCGTGGAAAGGGATGAGAAAGGAACGTTTTCCGAAGGTTTCGCGAGGTTCTTTAATAGAACAAGGGGAAGAGGCGCGAAGCGGACCGCCACCCCGAGAAAGACGTTTTCCAAAGACAACCGAGGAGGGTTGAAGAGAAGAAAAGGAAGAAAAGGAGGGTGGCGGAGGAAACTTGCAAATCGTGTCCGCCCCCGCCTCCAATGTTAGCTCAACGTAGTTTACCGAGTCTATTGTTTAGCGGATGAAAAATATAGCTTGAGGATAGGATGGCGCCACTAAAACCACGAATGAATTTAATGATTAATTTTTTAACGATAATTTTATTATTTTTGTGTATTTAAGGATGATTGAATTTTAAAGATTGCGAGAGGAGAAGCGATAGGAATACGAAAGTGACGATTAAAAGTATAATATTGTTAAATCGTGTAATATGAAATTAGTAATCCTTTTTTTTATAAGAATATTGATCATGTGCAATTTACGTGATCGATATTATAGTTTGTTTTATGATTTTTTGTAAATGAAATTTTTTCTTCGCAATAAAATTAAATAAACCAAGATAGATTTGTTTCTTCGTTGTTTTCTTTTTATAAGAAGGAAATTTTTAGAAATGTAATTTTTAGAAACAATCAAATTGAGAAACATTTTAATTAAATTTTGTTTCTTTTTTTCGATTTAAGTCAAATATAATATTTTTCGAATTTAATTATATAATTAGGTGACAAAAGTTGATAAAGTACTTGTATTTGTAATTTCAATAAAATATGCAACAAAATATTCTTTAATGCGAATTTAGACTTTAACAATCGTGCAAATATTATCCGATATATTGTTTGAATTGAAATTCGATATTTCACGCTTAATTAATTTGCTTACAAAAAAAATAAAATTTTATTAGTGATTGTAAAGAAAATTGTAAAAAGAATTAATTTCTGTATATATAATCAATGTAAAGTATAGTTGAATTTTTCGAGAAGATTATGATGATTTTCTTCAAGAATCGTCGAGTTGAAAATCTTTATTTCAAATTTTACAAAGGAATTATTCGATTGAATAAACTCGGATCTCTGAGATTTTTATTGAACTTTTTACAAAGACAAACTTTTTCTTTAAATGAACGTAAAAAAAAAAAAAAAAAAAATGAGAGAATAAAGCTTTGGTTGATTTAATATCTTTTCGTGAATCATGTACTCTTCTGTATATATGAGTGAATAAAAGATCAGAGACAAGAATTTAATGCATATATAGCATTTTTTTTTAATACAATTATTTTATATTTCAATGATTATTATTAGCAAAAAAGAAAATTAAAACATTAAACTTGTCAGATTAATGTTATTATATATTTATATATTTTATTTACACATATCATGACACTTTGAAGTAAAAAATAATCTTATTTGTATATCAGATCATTCATTAAATTCTATGTACTCTGTTCACAATATTTATCAGAATAATTACAATTTTTTACCTTTGCAATACTTGTTAAAATTGTAATCATAATTTCTTGTCTTCACTGAAATAATACATATTTAATCGAGTGATTTATTGCCATTATTTCAGAGTTGGATTCCACTTCGACCTAAAGTAGTCGATTCAATTTTTCATTTTATCGTGATTTTTAAAGTGCTATCCTTTTAGACCATATTGCACAGGATGAAATGAGTCGAAGGTATAGATATGGAAAGTGAAAATAAAATAAAATATATACCGATTATAATCTATTTATTTTACACAATAGACGAACTTTTATATATATTATTTTATTTTTTTTATAAAATAATAATTTATGAGATAGGAAAGAAAATTGATATAAAATATAAATTTAGACCAGAACGAATAGAGAATTATAACAGAAGTTGTGAATAATACGATATCAAATTTAACGTAGGATATATAGAATTACAATTTTTCGTATAAAAAAATCTCTTTTTCGAGCAAATAGAGTTTGAAAAATTGTCAAACACACGTGAAAATTGACTAATTTTTCATTCAGTACGAGTGAATAATTGGTAGCAAGTTATTCTACATGTCAAAATAGATATAAAAAAGTGTAAAATAAAACTTTTTCATTTGAAAAGTTCGTTTTCCAGAAAATCGAATTTCGATATTCATCGAGTACGTACGCATGTATCTGACTCATTCCTAACCGAATGTTTTTTGAATTCTATTTTTTTTCCAAAACTAGAAAGGCAAATGATAAAAGAATTTTTAATCGACATTTTTGACTTATTTTTTTATTTTATTTGATTTATTTATCATTTCATAAAATACGAAAAATATATTAGAACAATAGATAATTTATCATGTTTCTTTAATTTAAAAAAAAAAAATCTACAAAATTTATGAAATTATTCAATTTAGAAGTAGATAAAAAAATGAAAATGTATTAAATATCAAATTCGTATTTCATTAAAAGTGTGATATTATTTGATGCATCGAGTTTTAAAATTAATATTTTTTTTTTTCGTATTTCATTAAAAGTGTGATATTATTTAAAGGATCGAGTTTAAAGTTAATATTTTTTATAATTTTTAATCCTATATATCATCTCGATTTACTTAATATTAATTATCATAACAAAAAGACATCAAAATTAAATACCTTCCCAATATATCAAATTTT